TGTGTCTGACCATCCCAGCGTCTGTCCTTCCTCCCATCTCTATTGCCACGTGTCGGTGGGTCTAGGTGAGAGAATGAAAACCTTCCAACTGCGGACACAAGAGCTCAGTGACCGTTCATCGGGGTCCAAGATGGCAGAAGGAGCCCATGACGCCCCTCAAAGCATCCACCAGAGGTGAGAGGTCACAGACCATGTTGGGGGCACCCTTCACCCCTCATGGCTCTGCTGCTCACATGGCATCTGTCCCCGATGCCTGTGTCGCTGTTGGGTAGGACATGTCCCCCAGGCCAGCGGGGACGTCCCCGAGGAAGCACACCCCCTCCCCACTCTGCCCTACGGTGTGCTGACCAGCGGTCCTTTGTTGAGTACCACCCATGGCCCTGGACACAGCGCCTCTCCTCTCGCCCTAACCCGGGGTGCCCCAAGCACAGACCCCAGGGTGAGAAATGGGTGCTGGTTGTTTATGGGGAGGTGGCCCAGGAAGCACAGTGAGGGTCCGAGACAGGGTGGTAGTTCCCCAGGATGGCCTCAACAGTTACCTCAAACACAGTAGCCAGCTTACCGTCTCCCAGTCTGGAGGTCAGAGGTCAGGGTGGGCCTGGCTGGTTTCTCACAAATTGAAAGCAAGATGTCTGCCAGGTGGTCTCTCACTAGGGGACTGTGGAGACAGTCTGCTGCCAAGCTCACATACCTGGGTCCTTGAGGGTGTGGGACGGAGGTCCTCTCTTCTTGCTGACAGGTGGCCAAGGTCATCTTCAGCTTCTCCAGTTCTCAGAACCAACCAAACCCTGTTCACACTTGGACTCTCTCAACTTCTCCTTCTACTTTATCTCTCCGACTCCAGCCTGAGAAACTTCTCTGCTCTTAAAAGTCCTGGAGGCACAACGGTTAAGTGTCTGATGCTGACTGAAAAATCAGTGGTTCAAACTCACCAATGGCTCTGGGGAACACAGACTGTCCCCCTCTGGGGCAGTTCTACTCTGTCACATGGGGTTGCTCCAAGCCGTAATTGACTAAGTGGTACCCAGCAACCACCACAAGGGATCATGTGATTAGATTGGACCCTAACCTGGGTCATGTCTGCAAATTCCCAGTTGCCATGTCCCTGTTGCCATTGAAGGAGCCCTGTTGGTGTTATAGGGTAAGCACTGGACTGCTAACCAAAAGGTTGGCAGTTCAAATCCACTGTTATTCTGAGTTGTCCTGCTGGCTATAGGACACATGCTATATCCGGAGCATGTGGCTGCAATACGCCGTGACCTGATGGCCCCAGGATGCAGCTTCTCATTGTTGTTGTTGTTGTTGTTAGGTGCCATTAAGTCGGTTCCGACTCAGAGTGACCCCATGCACAGCAGAACTAAACACTGCCCGGTCCTGCACAATCCTCACAATTGCTGTTACACTTGAGCCCATTGCTGCTGCCACTGTGACAGTTCATCTCATTGGGAGCCTTCCTCTTTTTCACAGACTTTACCCTCCACTTTACCAAGCATAATGTCCTTCTCTAGGGACTGGTCCCTCCTGACAACATGTCCAAAGTATAAAAGATGAAGTCTCGCCATTCTGGCTTCCAAGGAGCACTCTGGCTGCACTTCTTCCAACACAGATCTGTTGGTTCTTTTGGCAGTCCATGTTACTTTCAATATTCTCCTCCAACACCATAACTCAAAAGCATCAATTCTTCTACCGTCTTCCTTATTCACTGGCCAGCTTTCGCATACATATGGGGTTATTGAAAATACCTTGGGTTGGGTCAGGCGCACCTTAGTCCTCAAACTGACATCTTTGCTCTTCAACACTTTAAAAAGGTCTTGTGCAGCAGATTTGCCTAAAGCAATACGTCGTCTGATTTCTTGACTGTTGCTTCCATGAGTGTTGATGGTTGATCTGAGCAAAATAAAGTCTTTGACAACTTCAATCTTTTCTCCATTTGGTGGTGGTGGTGGTGGTGGTATGGTGGTGGTAGCTATGTGTCATGGTGTCAGATCTGACGCCTAGCAACAGTCTATAGGTTCCAAGACTATAAATCTTTCCCACAGAGCGGCTGGTAGACTCGAGCTGCTGACCTTGTGGTTAGCAGCCCAACTCGTAACTCACCATGCTCCCAGAGTAAGGTGTTATTTTTTGGTCCAGTTGTGAGGATTTTTATTTTCTGTCCTATAGGAATCTTATATAGGGTCTCTGCACATCATTCTGGGAGCAGAAAAGTTCATCTTTCTCATTCCTTCGGAGCTGCTGGTGGCTTTGAACTGCCGACCTTGTGGCTTTACACTGCAGTGCCACCCCAGTTACCGTCACCACTTGACAACCTCTGTGCCGAGATTGGTGCCGGGCCCCTGTGTCACCTGCCTCTGCTTCTTCCTCCAGGGTGCTGTCCCATCGGAAAAGGTTCCTGGCCCAGTTCACCATCCACCAGCACTTGCGCCTGGACACCGGGAAGCAGAGGGCCAGGGTCATGGATCTTCTGGAAGGTCAACTGGAAAGCCAGCTCCAGGTACACGGGAAACAAGAGCCAAACTCCCAGCCCCTCGCAGCAGTGGGGCCTCAGGAGGGGACCACCAACCCCTGAATGTCCCTCATTGCCAGATGAGTCTTACCGGTTAAGGACCATCCACCTGGACCGTGAGCAACTGAGGGACGGGCAGGGCCTGGGATGACTACCCGGATGTCTACTGCATGCAGCTGGGGCCAAAACCATAGCAGCTGAAGTCTGCTCACGTGGGTTCAACTGCAAGGGAAGTGAGGACAGGGCACCTCGTGGTCTCGTGCTGTACTGGACAGCAGTTTGCAGATAATGCTTGTTTTATTTTGGTTTTTTTTAACCAATTGAAGTTTTGTGGCAACACCGCGTAAAGTCAGTCCCTGGGGCTTACGTTTCCAGCAGCAGGTGCTAGCTTCGTGTCTCTGTGTCCCATCTTGGCCATTTTCAGAATCATCCAAACATTTTGACCGTGCGGTGGGTGAGGCATTGGGCTACTAACTGCAAGGTCAGTGGTTCAAACTCACCAGCCACTCCATGGGAGAAAGATGAGGCTGTCTGCTCCCATAAAGATTGACAGAAACCCGAAGGACTGTGGGTTCGCTGTGAGTCAGGCTCGATTCGATGGCAGTGGGTTTTGTATTGCACACCTGTTGTGGCACTGTGGGCTAATGTTGGACTGCAAAGTTGGCAGTTCAAGCTCACCAGCTGCTCCTTGGAAACCCTGTACAGCATTTCTATGGGTTGGGACTGACTCAAAGACACTTGACAACAACAACAACAATAAAAGCATCAAACCAACAACTTGATTCCAACTTAGGGACTCTGTATGGGGTTCCTGGCTTTGTAAATCTCTACAGGACCCGACAGCCTCATCTTTCTCCCACGGTAAATGTAACTTTTCTATGCACTGGGAAACCCAAAAATTCATCAGACTCATCTTGCCATCTTAGCTTTACTGTGGCAGTCCAGATCCAACCCGACAGTGCCTGGGCATCCCTGGTACTGAATCTTGTACCAAGCAGTGGATTGGGCTTGGAAAAATGTCATTGAATCAATGCTGCTAGTAACTGAAGACTCCCTGGGTAGCACAGACGGTGGAGCTCTGGTCTACTAACTGAAAAGTTGGTGGTTCAAACCCACCAGGAGGTGCCTTGAAAGTAAGGCCTGGCAAACTCCTTCAGAAAGATCAGCTACTGGAAACCCTGTGGGCCACAGCATGATGTCACCAGGAGTCAGACCTGGATCAACAGCAGCTAATGTTTGGTGGGAACTGAAGTATGATTTTTCTGGAAGGTGCAGGCAGATTCTATCTTGATATTTAGACACCCTGTTTCATCACAGAATCTTCCTGTGACTGAGATTATCAGGTGAGGCAACCATACAACGTACTATTGTTGTTGTTGTTGTTAGGTGCCATCAAGTCAATACCAATCGATAGCGACCTTATGCACAACAGAACGAAACACTGCCTGGTCCTGGGCCAACTTCACAATCATTACTACATTTGAGCTCTGTCTCGCTGAGGGTGGGATTCTTCTTTTCTCTGACCCTCCACCTTACCAAACATGATCTCCTTCTCCAGTGACTGGTCCCTCCTGACAATATGTCTGAAGTATGAGAGACGAAGTTTGGCCAT